TTTGAAGGATTTTCAATAGTAAATCTACATGATAAGGTTCTAATGAGTAAAGGTTTCTTTGCATGATCATAGCTAAAAAAATTCTATAAATTCAAATGTGATTTACCTTATAGTAGTGTTGGATGGATGTGACATCAGAGATGCATATTTGCAAATGGATGTCATTGAATGATTAGTTTAATCCTCTGTGTTTTCTTTGACATTATTTCTTGTTTATAAATACTAAGTTAACAACAAAGGAGTTTTACTATTAAGGTAGTATGTTTCTTCTTCTTCTTCCTTTGTCAAAGAAAATGTCAAGGTTCTTCAAATGTAACTTAATGGATTTCTCATGTTCGAGTCTCTTCATTTATTGAATACTATTTTTGAAGAATTGAATGATAGTTGAGCACTTAGTAGCTTTATTGAAGCTTCCTTCAATGTTTTGTGGATCATAACAGTCTTCTTATCCTTCCATGCATTCATATATTAAACGATAAACTCTTTTGTTTAGTCCACATTGATAGTGTTCTCTATGATTGCAGACAACTTCATGAAAACTCCCATGTCTATTATGTTGCATGTTCATGCTTTATACATTCTTGATGATGTTAAATCTTAGAATATTGATGAGTATTGTCACCTAGGATTAAGATGTGTTAAAGAAGATAGCACCAGAAAGAACAAAAATGAGGACGGAAGGAAGAGCAGGTAAAATCTCTAGAATTTTATTGATCACAAAAAATGACTATATAATTTCTTCACATTTCCCCCAATTTCCTCCTTTCATTTAACATTACCACTTTTTCCCTATCATATACTCCATAGTTTTCACACCCTGTATTCAGAAGGCATTACTCCCTAGTAAAATTGGTTTTGATGAAAATAAATAAACTTGTTTTCTATTCTTAAAAGAAGAAAGACATGCAAGTAATAACAACAAAAAGTAAGAAAAACTAAGTTTCATTCCATAAATAAGAGTCCAACTAATACAACTGAGAAATAATCAGATAATTGAAAGATACTAAAATGAAACTAAAAATACCAAAAGTAAATAAATGTTGTAAGTCTGCTTTGATGGAGACAATCATGTTAATAGTTGAATAAATCGTGTTATGCAAAAATGTCAACGAGTGATTCTGGAAAGTAAACTCGGTACATATTATTTATTTATTAATGCATAAATGACAAGAAAATGTGGCTCACAGTATAAGCAATAAAAAGGGATAATTTATTATATGTTTAATAAATCTATAAAGGGATCATCACATACTCATGATCAAGAATAGAAGTGAATTGAACACATGCACTTTTATGTAAATATTTACATTTTATTATATTAGGTGCTTTGAACATATATGACTCACTTGTATTTTAACACTATCAGATAATACCATATAATTTACAATTTCAATATATATATATATATATCACTGCCTCTGGCTGAGCACTTTGCTTCTTTGCTCATAGATGGGGGCGTAGAAGGTGACATTGAGAAATGCGGTGGTTGAACATATGACAATTCAAGCAATAGGAAGGGAAAGACTCAATCACAACCCTTTATTAATCCATGGTCTTGTGTGCCTAACCAAATTTTCTCAGAAAAAGCAATAGGAAGGGAAAGACTCAATCACAACCCTTCATTAATCCATGGTCTTGTGTGCCTAATCAAATTTTCCAAATTTTCTCAGAAACGATTGAAGTGATGTTCCTTTCAACAAGTACTTTGACTTCAGAGGGACGAGAAAGATTAAAAGTAAGAATATCTATTTTGAGTGACTTACCAAAGGCTGAGGCAATAAAGTACAATGCTTCTTGAGTAAAATCATGAAATTTTAGGCCAGAGAGGCGAATCCGGATAGGAATGATTGGTGATTTCGTCTGTGGGTCAAAATACACCGACCATTTCAAAATCTTCATTTCTCTGTTATCAATCCAAATTAATCTTCTAGAAAATAAGCATGTGTAATCCTCTTTATTATTTAGTCAAATCCATTTCAAAATCTTCATTTCTCTGTTATCAATCCAGATTAATCTTCTAGAAAATAAACATGTGTAATCCTCTTCATTATTTAGTTAAACAAGGATATGTATTCCATCTAGAAGTTCAATTTTCCACTCCCCAATAAGGTGCATAAACTCAAATTCCTTACAAATAAGGTCCATTTTGAGATTGTCATAAAGGAATTTCTCGATCAAGTTCAAATGACTTGAGAAAGCAAGCTGATTAAATTATGCTTCTTCAAAAATGATGACTTCCTACTAGGTTTCTTGATGCCCTTCGCTGACACAAACGAAGAAGGGAAGGAACACAATTTAAGAGTATCTGAGCTGTGAACACCGGCAAGGGCAGCAGCATACGTTCTTTTTGAAGTCATCGCCAATACAAGAAGGCGCGACGATAAGAATAATGAAGTTGCAATGGAAAAAATAGCAAAGCCAAAGGAGGTGTGAAACTTTCTGCTTCAGGCTAGAGGAAAGACTAGAAGAGACCGCACCCCTTAAACTTTGGTGAGGCAACTGAGAAGTTGTCGAAGCCGAAGACACACGACACCTTAGAAGCCAAGC